GTGATGTCCCAGGAGACCTGCCCTCCTAGGTGTCGGGGCACCTGTGGGTGGGTGATGTCCCAGGAGACCTGCCCTCCTAGGTGTCGGGGCACCTGCGGGTGGCCGACTGGTGAGTTCCAGGTCTCTGGAGCTCATTTCCCTGTGTACCTGAAACTCCGTGGTCCTGGCTCTTGTTATTCTGTCTGCCCTGTGAGGGCTGAATACCTCTCTGAGTGGAATCACACACTCTCTCTTCCTGTCTGAGTGACTCATCTCCCGCTGGCATGGTGGCTTCATGTCCACCCATCCAGTCGCCAGGACCGACTTGCCTTTCCTTAGGGTTGGTTGCATTCTGCTGTGTGAATGCTCTGCACTTTCCTTTCCCTCCATCCCTGATGGATATCTTGGCCCTTGTGAGTAGAGCTGAGTCAATACCAGAGTTATCAAAAGAATGCAAAGAAAAACCACAGTGAAATATGCATTTTTCTTCTATGTATTTGCAAAATTTTACAAAGTGATAAAGCCAGTGTTCCTGAGTGCAGAGTTGGAGCTTCCCAGGGAGGTGGGTGTGTAACACTCTGCCACAGAGTTGTGCCCCAGGGCTCCTCTTTCAGACATTTACCTGGCCACAGACATGAAAAGAGGATACCAAGGATGTTTACGCTTAGCTCTCACAATGTGGAGGCCCCAAACGCCAGGCACAGCCAAGGGTGTATTCATCTTGTGTGGCTCAATGCAAAGATCTAAGTGTTGTTTTTGAAGAATATTTAATGATATTGAGAAATATTTTTCATGTTTTTAAGTGAATATAGCCTCAACATGGCTTTTAGTTTGAATCCAATTTAACATTTAAAATGTCATTGAAACATTAAGATGTCATAAAGAAACATATTGTCTTTTCTTTCTGTATTTCTGTGTTTCCATTCTTATATAAGGAAAGTATTTTACTTTTTTTTGAGAGTAAAACTTCTTTTCAAACACAGGTAAAACTTATCCTCATGAGTAACTTATAAATGACTGTTTGGATTAATCTAGACCTGTGGGCATGAGTGGCTGTATTTTTGCTTAAACTTGTTTGTTATAAGAGGTGGGACA